GGGAGCTATGAGCAAGCCCACACCAGCCCGCCACCTCTCACCGCGGGCAACTCCAGAGTAGTAGAGAGTCCAGCCTCTCTCGAGGAGTAAAGTTCCAGAGCCCAAGCTGTGCGTGGAGGTGAACCCGACTATATCTAGCCGGTACCTCTCAACCTCCTGCACAAGCTTGGGCTCCTTCCCCACCAGCGAGGTGACATTCCATGTCCCCAGGGCTAGTCTCTGTGTCCAGAGATCGGGTCGTCGGGGCCCCTGCCTTCGACTGCTGCCCAATCCACTGTGCACCACATGAAAACATTATTTTTTCATGTTGGACAAACTCTTATGAGTATCTTCAATTTATTAAAATGAACAATAACGCAAGCCTACCTGTTCTCTCCCCATTTTGTGACCAGAGTCGACTGGATGAATGCTTAAAAAAACAAGCATGTTTACAGCAGGCTCTGAACAACGCACAAATGGAGACAGAGAATGAGAAAGAGAACAGCAATAAAGCAAGGGTGGGGTGGGAGTGTGAAAGAGAAGCTATGAAAGAGGAGATCTCAGACCTCAGAGACAACCTGAGACAAAGCTGTGACATGTTGAAGCAGATGGAGAAAAAACACAAGGTACAAACAGACCAGTGGAGCAGTTTCTTTTTTTACCTTCAGAAAGTTCAATGGCAACAATGGTTTTCTGTTTAATGGAACTACACATAAAAAATAAAATTTTTAATTGTTTTTTTTTTTCTCATCACAACGCTGAAAGGATGTGAAATGTAGTCAGGAAAATCTGACCTCTGAACTTAGTAAACTCACAGCTGAGAAGGTTGAGAGTCAGCAGCGAATCAGAGACCTGGAGGATAATGTGAAGGTTCTGACTGACATGGAGAAAGAAGGAAGCATGGAACTGGAAAGGCAAGTGTTTGAAATGTATGCCAGCTCAAACATTTGTCCTGGTCTGTTGAGTGCCTTGATCCTAAAATGAACCTTATTTGTTACACCTGATCTCCACAGGCTGAAGGAGAGAGTGAAGAAAATGTCCAATCAAATGAAAAACGACGAGGAAAAGAAGAAGGCTCTGCAGGTCATTGATGCTGCTGCTTCTCTTGTGAAACATGGTTAAGCTTGAGCATGAGACAGAGTTTACCATATAGATGTATTAAAGGAGAACTGGATACCAGATTACTATTCATTCCTCTGTAAGTCACTCTGAAAAAAATGTTTCATGCTTTCGAATTCCAGCCATAAGAATTACCCACATGTTCCGCATGCTGCGTTTTTGGGCCCATAGACCATGCACACTTCAGTTAAGCAGAATCTCCCGCTGGTCAAACAGGCTGACCTTCACTTGGTTCCACAGACACATGAATGGGATAAAATAAAAATATCCTATGGCTCAACTAGACTTTCCAGATCATACTGGACCCAGTGGATCAAATTCTGATAAATGTAATGAGGTTTGTGATGCTCTGAAACGTATATCCACCTTTTTACAGCAGCTCCTTTTCCAAAGATTGTAAATGGCCAGTGTGCATCATATGAGGAATGCACAAGTTGTAGTAAGACAGGCAGTTGTTATTTAGCACAATTACAGTGAACGTCAAGCTAACATCTAGCACCAAGGACTGTATGTTGCAAGCTAGTAACACCACACAGATACTGCAAGTTATGTGTTGCTTTTATTTTGGCTCTTTGTTTGTTTATTTGTATTTTAATTTGATTTTACTAGATTTTTTTCTGAATGGGTAGCTGGATAGTTTTGGTTACTAAATTTATTAATTAAAAAAAGCATTTCACAGTGGAAACAAAAATGCACTGGCACGGTCACAGTTCAGAATGGCTTGGCATGAGATGTCAGAGTACTCCATTAGTACATAAGTATGACAGCTAAAACAGCTCTGTACTAATCTCCTCCTGTCTTTTTTCTTCAGGTGGAGAATGAGGCTGCTCAGGTGCAGGTGCAGAAGCTGCGGGAGCGTCTGGAAGCTAGTGAGCATGCAGCTGACAGCCTGCGCAGGGAGCTGAGAGACCTGAGCACCCATCAGGGCCATACCCACAGCGAGCTGCACCAAGCCTGGCTGCAAGTGGGCCAGCTCACCCTGCAGCTATCTGAGGAAAACCTGGTCCTCAGGGAGGAGCGCGCCAACTGGGCTCTAGAGAGAGAGGCTTACAAACATGCAGCAGAGGTGAGCCTAATATGGCACAAAGATATTATGTCAGTGTGACATTGATGTTAAACTAGCTTATATGCTTTTCGTTTTCATGCAGATTGATAAAAAGAAGTTACAAGAACTTAACTGTGAGGTGCAGAGAATAGAGGAGTGGCTCCAGGAGGAGAGGACAGAGAGGGAGAAACTAGAAGCAGAGCTTAGGAAGGAGAGAGATTGCAGTCGAGTAAGTAAATCAAATTACTTCACAGTCACTATTATTTAAGACACAAACACTCTAAATATAACAGCTGCTGTGCTGCAAAGTGGCATCAGATTACATTTTGGAAACTGAAGAACCATGCCAGAGCTCAGCGCAGTTCTTTTATTACTCACAGACACAAATAGAAAACGCGTCTTTGAATTGAAGTACTTTCATTCAAATTAGACCTTTCTCATCTATGTAATCATGCCTTATTAGACATATACTCAATAGTAAAACCTCTAAAATTAATGGCTTTAGTTTCAATCCTGAGTCCAATTATATTTGAAGAATGAATGAATGATTATATTACTATAACATAATATTTAGATGCTAATAAAATAACATTCTCTTGTGCCCCGTATTTCAGTGATGATGCTCACAAATGTTAGACATCACACTTAACAAACAGCGATCAATGTCAGTGATTCTCACGCAAATAATTTGGGTGCACTTATTATTAAATAACTCATAAAACTCTTTCCTACACCTGTCTCTGCCTTTGGCTTTTAACACAGGCTGAGAAGTTGCCATACCGTGAACCCCGGACTGGTGAAGAGAAGCATCTGGTCGCACCAGAATTCACCAGTCCTGCCTTGAGGTGACAATTCTAGCTTTCCTGAAGTCACACAGAACACATGACTGGAATGACGTCTGTTAAAATGTCATGTGAATACATCCTTCACACTCCTCTCCCAGAGAGACTAGTTACTGTTTTATAAAAGCTGTTGTTCCACATACTGGGCACTTTATTTCCTCATGGGAGGAATTGCAGCACAAGAGAGTAAAAATACAAGTGTAATTATTATCATGATAACAACATAGCTGAAGTTAAGCAAGCAGATCAGCAGGATTAGAGACAGAGGATCTGTTTAGTAATTTACCAACAATGTTATCTTTTCTACTTTTTTATCCTCAGCATCTTGTGTCAGATTCTGATTTCTCTTTCTCTCTCTGCAGTGATCTGGCTGATCCCCCCATGTGGTAACACAGGAAAGGATGGACTAATGCCAGTTTGCTGTTTTACCACTCCAGCATAAGCTCATGTAGAACCCCAGATACCCTAGTGAATTTTTGTGATTATTTTATTGATGTTTTATACTTGTTTATGGACGTGTATGCCCGCCAAAACATTTGAGGGTGCACATATTTGTAAATGCATTATGCGAGTTAAAATACGGGGTTTCTCAGCTACCCGTTTTGTTTAGTGTGTTAAAGCATCTCCTTTCATCGGTACATGTACCGTTGTTTACCTGTCTATGGAGGAGAAATTCAAAGGAATTAATGCCGTCGCAGTTGGTTGTACTGTCCACTTTTGACATAACACCAGCAACAGAAGTTTTGCACATTCACGAACTATCATCTTGTTTTTAGGAAGAGGCTCTTTGGTTTCATCATTCTGAAATAATTACAGACTATTTGGAGTTAGGATGGGTGCCCAAGATTAGACATTAAATGGCTGGAAATGAACAAAATGAGCATGCCATGGGCACTTGAAACATTTGGGCAGAGATTTACTTCCATACTTGTTGATGTAGGAACTAGCCTTCACAGAGGTCATAGTTACCTCATGAGTGCCTTTGTTCAAAGATAACATAACACAATATATTAGTAAGTCTTAAGTGTCTAAGATTTAGTTTGTTTTATTATAACGATTCAGGGTTAATTATGGTTTTAGGATTAATGAAACTCAGGACGAACATTAGCTGTTAAGCTTCTCATGCTCTCTGTTAGACTTTCATAAACACATTAATTGTTAAAAAATTATCTTAATTTGTTTGATTCTGTGCTTTTCTGGCCTTTTCACTGACTAAATGATGTTCTAAGGAAGAAAATACCAAATGATGCCATGATGAGCTCGAATTTAAAACACTACATCTTGTTTTTTGTGACAGATCAGACGCTGACAGTATGTCAGTCTGAAGCCATGTGTGTGTGGGTGTGTGTTACAAGTGTGAAATGTTTCCTTGGAGTTTGCTAAGCTCAGTGTCAGGTTGGAAGAACATGAAAGTTTATTTATAATTCTTTATTGATGTGAGCATCTGTTGGAGAGACGGGGCTCTGTAATAAAATATGATCGTAAATACATGTTGATGGCTTTATGTATTTTGATGAAAAGGTCTTGTTACTTTATAAGAATATTTGTTTGTTTCCATCCCAAGACTTCTGTGTAAAAATGTGTGAAGTGACGGCAAAGAAGATGACATCTGGACACTGAAATATCGGACAACAAAAAAGCGCCTTTATCAAAATACACGAAGCGCAGCAACAAATAACAAGAACACAAAGCAACCAATAAGCAAAAAAGTAATAACTTTTCATCAAAATTTAATAACAAAAATTAATCTTTGTGTTTCTGTCTCTCTCTGTGTGTCAGAGCTATTTTGGTAGAAGTCAAATTTAATGAGACCTCATGAGGGGCCCCTAGTCCCTGATCATGAAGACAAGTTACTTGCACACTATAGAGCTTGAGTTAAAAATAACAAATAAAAAAGAGAGAGAGAAAATGGTTGCAGCTTCAAAAGTAATTTTAGTTCATGAAATCTCCTCGTCCACATTACACACCATCGCTTATTTGTTGCTCTTATTTTATTTTTACCCAAATGTAATATCTGTCTTTGGTCTCTTGGTTCAGTTACACACATGCTTACATATAGAGCTGAGGCTTTTGTGGCCTGTTGCATGGCTTATTTATTACACCAGCTCAAATTAAAGGAAAAAAAGGTTTTGTGAAACAAGAAAATATTTTGTTACTAAATACGGTTATGGGATGCAAGAAAATGTTTTAAATACTAAATAATGTTAAATTGGTTGATGTGTAAAATACTGACTGTGTGTGTGTGTGTGTGTGCGTGTCTTGTGTACCTTAGTCATATGGCTGTGATGTTTCCAATAGCAAAATCACAATTTATTAGTTTAGAATTTTCATTGTGGTGTCAGTTTTCTGGTGCTAAAGGCTGTCTGTCTGGTTTGTTGGTATGGCCAGTGCTTCAAAACTGCTGCTGTGCTGCTGATTTGCTGTTGAACATATCTCATCTTACTCTGCTTTATTCAGGGAATAACTCCATGCGTCACAACCAGAAACTTGCGGCCCATTTTTCAGATATCATACATTAGGTTCATTTTTGAAACTTGACAAACTACATCAAAAATTCGTTGCGGCTCTTCTGCTGCAATGTTTTCATCCCGTTGAGGACAAGTAAGCTGCTTTTAAAGGTTGTGTCTGTTTGGATGATTCTGTGCTCATTCTTACAAAATGAAAAGCTTATGGCTTACCTGCCCCTGGTTGCTGAACTAGGGTCATAGACAGTATGGTCATCACTATTCCTCAGAGTCATTTCAGTTAAAGATGGAGTTATTTCAGAGTATTCACACCAACAGTTTTTTAGATAATACTCTGATAGTTGAGATGTGACCCTGACAAAATCAACCTGAGATTGGGTGATGACATTAGATCTACCCTGCAAATTCTTTAACTGCTATAAATGAGTATTTTTCTCAAGATGCATTGCTGCATTTGTTCTTGCATTGTTTGTCAGGATCAAAAACAACAACATTTACACTTCTCTTCGGCCATGTGCATTTGTGAGTTTGAGTCCTGCTCACCTGTCTCCTTTTGCTATTGCAGAGCAGAAATGCATCAAATTGAAGAAGAGCTTAAAATACTCCTACGTCCAGTCAAATGGGAGGAGGACTGAGTGAAATATAAACAATAAAGCTACATAAAGTCCTATAAACACGCATAAAGATGAAACTACAATGTGTACATGCTTAGAAAAACCATACAATAAAAAAATAAGTAGCATATCTGAATAGTAACAGAGGGGATTTTGAGAAGAGTTCTGTTGTTGCACTGGATTTTACCAGTTTTATACAAAGAATAGCCCTTATACATACTGTAGCTGAGGAGTGCATTTTCTCAGCCCACCACCTCTTGCTCCTCTCTGTGTGGACAAAACACTTAAGAGTCTTCTTTTGGCACAATGGTGCTCTCCTCAACCCACTCACATTTAGTGCTTTCGCTTCTCCCATTTCATGTTTCCTATGCTGAATCAACACATTTAATTTCAGTCCTCATGTACAGTATATGTAAATATGTGCTGTACGCAGCACCGTTGTTGTACATGAGGCTAATCTTGTGTGGTTTTCTTGGCGATACTGCCGGGTGATGGCTCAGTGATCTGGAGGATGGTCACCGTTTCTCTCTCACTGTGTTTTCCCAGTCGTGCCTTTCTGTTGCCAGAATGCTGCCGCCTCCCCACACAGCTCCCCTTCACTGTCCGCCCCTCTCTCTTTCTCCTCATCCCAGTAATCGTCTTCCTCCTCCTCCTGTTCCTCCTCGGCGGCCGACTCACACACGGCTTTCTCCTCTTGCTTGATGGCTTGAATGGCAGGGGCAGCTGCTGCAGCACTGTCCCCTGAGTCACTACTGTCCTCAAAGGCATCGGGGCTCTCCAGCATCTCTCGGATCAGTGGGGGCATGGGCCCTGGGATCTCTGTCTTCAGCGTGATGGCTCTTTCTGCACCTGCAGGCACATGCAAAGAAGCATTTCATATAATGTCCCTGCTTCACCTTTTGCTGTAAAGAAATCTCAAACTAACTAACAGGCTGTGTCCCATTTCAGGAATACAACCTTTACTGCCATGTTCTTCATATATGCAGGTAGCACTCACAGAACTTTTCTGCTTGTATTATTCTTAGGATACAATGATTTAATGTAATTACCATAATTTTAATGTTTCACATCTTTTCTAACAATATTTTAAGTCTTAATTTGAAATGAACTCATCAAATGATGAATGTCATTATTTTCAGCTTGTCAGCTTCCTGGGTGTTATCTGAAACTTTTAGAGAACTAGATGCCAATCTGATGCTTGAGTTTTGACCCTGATACGGAAATAATGTTAATGTTGTCTTAATACAAGTAGCTGTACCAGAACTTTCAAGTTTAAACTCAGTACTATAGATGTATTTCAGTCTGTACCAAAATAATACTGAAGTTTAAGAGCTATCTCTAGTCCTGAACTGTGGTCATGACGCATAAAGCCTCCGCTGACCTTTGGTGCTGATTCCTCGGAGGTCCGTGACTTTCATTAGCATGCGTGGAAACATATGCGGCTTGTTTGGGCGTCTACGGCGGGTATAGATCTTCAGAGCCTCGAGCAGGGGCTCCTGCAGTTTGTCAACCTTCTCTGGTTCTTCCAGGTCCATACGGTCTGAGAGAGCAGGAGAAAACGTGAAGAGGAAATAACAGCAATTTCGTAAACAGCTGACAAGATGATAGAGAGGGGTCTACAAAACAATGAGGAGGAGTAACAATTGCTCCTTTCCATCAATGATTCCTTGACAAGGGGGTGTGATGTCAAGAGATACCCGAAGCACAGACTTACCTCCGCAGATGAGACAGATGGCGCTGAGGAGCCCCGTCTCTGTGTCGTCCATCTCCAAAGGCAGCAGCTGACCAGCAAAGGCAAACACCAGGTCTGTGAGCGGACCGAAGCCTGCATTATGCATCTGTGTCCTGTTGAGAGTCAGGCCGTCTGAGAAGGTCATTGTGTCCTGTTCTGGGGTGTAACGAGTGCATATCCTCAGCATCTAAGTGGGGGAAGAAAATGAAGAGACAAGCACAAAAATTAACAATCAACAAGAAAGAAATGAGGCTGAAATTCATCCAAAATAATTTCAGAGCAGTTGTTCATAATCACATTTTTGCATCATGTTGACAGGTTAAGCAGTGAGACAAATGTGAAAGCGTTGGGGATGGGTGGAGCTGGTTAAAGAGGAGCGTAACAGGAGCATGTGCTCGGTACCAGAATGTCCAGGCATGCAGATTTGAGGAGGGTGATCTGGTCAGCGATGGTGAGCGAAGTGAAGCCCGGTAGCCGCTTGGCAAACTCCACAATCTTTATAATGCACTTAGTGGAGAGCTCACTGAACTTATCCCACAGGCCCAAGTCCAGCTGTACTCTGTGGTCAGCACTTGAATTCTGGGAGAAAGAAAGAGGGACACTTTGTCTGTGTGGCTGTGCAGAGTGTTTAGTCCTTCCAGCAAAGCGGTGAGCTAATGCTCCAGTGGATTGTGAGTATCTGGAGGTAGGTGGGATTGTGCACTGAAAAAACTCACTGTGGTGTATTTTCCGAGTTGGCACAGAGATGGAAAGGTCTCCTGGTGAGCTTTGCTAACTTTGTTAACCAGCTCCTCCAGTTCTCCACTCAACTCATAGTTCTCTGGCAGCACCACCTCCTCCTTCACATCCTTCTTCTTTTTGTTCCTGTCATTACGCACCGCTACAGGGAAACAGATAACACAATCAACAGCACCATTAATCTTTTGCCATGTCTTGATGGAGGATAGATAACTGTGAAAGATTATTTTTCCCTGAACCCCTTACACACTCACCTTCTTTAGACATGCCAACCTCGAAGCACTTCTGCAGCCGACAGTACTGGCAGCGGTTGCGAGTCACTTTGTTGATCTGACAGTTCTTGTCTCGGTGGCAGGTGTACACCATGTTCTTCTGGATGCTGCGTCGAAAAAAACCCTGAAACCAGTAAAAGAAAATGCTGTATACATTTGCTTCACGACAGGCAAAAGTGCTCTCAGTGAGATCTCAGGAAACAATGTTTAACCATGCCAGTGCAGGCTCTGTTAGTCTGCACTTTGGTCCAGACTGAAATACCGCAGCAAATCTCAGATGGATTGCCACGATATTTTGTACAAACAATGGCCACTTTCATCAAGTGCCACCATCAGGTCTAAATTTCAACTTGTCCAATAATTTTCAAATAAATGCAAGACTGTCTTTGACATCGATACTTTTATGTTTTGTGATAATGTTAGCATAATAACACGCTAAACTAAGATTGCGAACATTGTGTACATTACATCTGCTTAACATCAGTGTGTGAGCATGGCAGCAAAGGTTTAACATGTTGCTCAAAGCATTGTTGTGCAGCCTCACAGAGTCACTCCTGGCTGTTAGTCTATTTTTAAGTGCTTATAAAATAAAGGTTCAAGTTTAATGCAGCAGCTTAATTTGCAGTAACCTTTTTGCCAGTCACACGCTTAATAAATGTGCAGTACTAGTAAGGATACACAAGAGGGCAGCGTAACAGCAACAAACATTACAGCTGTGCAGCCCTGACATCTATCAGGCTCCAGCTTCTTCAGCAGCTGTTCATACATGTCCTGTAAACTCTTTATGTAACTAATGTGTGTCTAGCTTCATTTACCTTGCAGCCCTCACAGGAGCTCACTCCGTAGTGATAACCAGATGACTTGTCCTGGCACACAAAGCACGGCTTGTAGACCCGAGGGGGAGGAGGAGGAGAAGGAGAGCTGGGCACCATCTCCTCTGAACTGGTGCTCTGGGTCTCTACCGCTGCAGAAACATTTAGGGTCATCTTGTTTGCATAAGTTCTTTGAAACTATGATTAAAGCTAATACAACAACTGATTAAGAAAGAATGGTCAACAAACAACCACCAACCCCAAGCAGGACACCCCTTGGAGCCAGAAGGCGAGCTTAAGGGCAGACATTTTAAGAGAGGGGGTGAGGGGTGCGGGGCACTGCCGACTGACAAGACTTAAAAGAGGCACAATTAACTGATGGCCAGATGGCCCTGCTGATAAAGTGCTGATTGGCAGCTCTCCATTTAGTGGGGAGTGGGGGAGCAGCATACCTCTGTCAACTATTTCACTGGCATTTGAATTTTTGGATTTGTGTGTCTGTGTGTGTGTGTGTGTGTGTGTGTGTGTGTACAAGCACAAGCTCACATTTTTATTTGAAAGCCTGTCCAACCAGACCTGCCTATATACCTACAGCCCCATGTGAACAAACAGAGGTGGGATGTTTATGAGACTCAACTGTCTCCCTCTGTCTCGCTAAAGAAACTGGCACATTGTATAACACCATTTGCTGGCCACAGGCAGAGTCATTCTGCTGCTGCTAATGAAAATGGTAAAGAAATGTCTGACGGACACCGCAGCCCCGTCCTTCCAGCCGATTAAAAGTGCAACTGCTTACGCTGAGATGAAAGCAGAAGTACACTACAACAGTAACACGCCTGGTACACATTTAAAGGTGATGACTAAAGAACAACCAGATTCCTTCATACATGCGTTTCAACTTTCACCTTCAGTCACCCCAACTTCATCTTCCTCTGCTCACTCCCACCCCCACCCCCTTGTTTCCTGGCCCTAAATTCCTCGGTGCAGGCTGGACGGCGTTTAATAGGCGCCCAGGCTCATAAGCAGACCCTATAAAGGTTGTGTCTGGGATGGAAAGGAGGCTCCCGGCCAGGCTGACGGCCTCTTTATTGGGATCCAGTCACCTTGGGCAGCTATTCACATCAACAGCTCCATCCTTGGATGCCTTCCTAGTAAAAATAAAGAATCTGGGGGTCAACAAACCCAAAGTCACAGCCCCTCCTGCCACCCTCAATGGATAGCACAGGACTGAACCAAATGTGGCCCCCACCCCGCTGCAGCAACCTCTGAACCCGCAGCTTGTCGTTAACAAAAGCGGTAAGGTTTCAAAACAGAGAGGCAAAGGCACAAAGGAATAATCAAATAAAAACAGAGAGGGAAAAATACAAAGAGAAAGAAAAGGAGAGAAGGAGGTGAAGCACAGGACAGAAGCTTCTCAGTGGCTGAGAGGTTAAATAAATTCCTGATCATTTAACTTTGACCTTGACTGAAGAAGGCCATTGCTAAGTACATGACAAGCAGCCTGTTCTAATATCCCCAGATGTGGTCAAATATGACATTCAAATGGTTTCCTTCATGCCTTCCACACAGAGGACAGAGAGAAATCAGCAGTGGTTCTGATAAATGTTTAATTGTTTAGGCAACAATGTAAAAAACGGTTAAAACTGGTTCCAAGTGTGAATATTATCCATTTCTATCATAGTAAACTGGTTCAGGACAACTGGTTGGACAACACAAGCAATTTGCAGATGTCAGCTTAATATCTTCCAAAGCAGACAATTACTAAATTAATTGAGAAAATATTCTAATTCAGATTAACAAATCAAAAATAATCGACAGTTGCCGCCCTACACCCCACACAGCTGTGCTGAGGTATCAGAGACACACACAAACTGTCACACAACAACACATTCTTTTTAAATTGTCATGTCTTAATAAAACCTGTTTAATAAACCCTTGTTTTAAAACTAAATAATCATACATTTTGTAGCTATTTGTTTTTGCCACAGTTGCATATAATTCTGTGAGTATTTAATACAAGTGTGGACAGTTTTCTGCTTTGTTGATGATTCGTGTGGTTTTAAAGCTCCACAGTGAGCTTTATCAATATCAGTCAGGTTTAACTTCTACTCAGCAAATCTAAAGTTTCAGGCCTTCCCAAAACAGTTGAACTCAAAACATATATTTATTCATTACTTTTATTTGCCACATTCAAATAGAGACTGTCAGTCTGTTGGTGCATGCAGTGTTCAGTTGCCTAATGTATTGTTCAAAGCGAAGAATCATTTTGTGCTGCTGACCTCTTTATTTTGCTTTGGAATAAATGCTTTTTTTTTTAGCCAGCAGAGGCATTTCACAATACTGACATTTAACAATTTGTGATGTCTCTGCTTCACAACAGAGATCCAGAGCCAAACAACAAATCATCTCAGAAATTCCTGACTGTACCAACCAAACAGATTTTTAAAAGGCTGCCACTTGTGAGAACAGCTGATATGAGATAAATGCAGCTTGAAACTGATTAACAGAAAATTAATATGCAACCATGTTGATGACTGATAACTCACTGAAGCCATTTTTTTCTTTTGTGATCAGTTATATCACGTTTTCAAAGAAGTACACACATATCACACACAGTTTTCAACAAGAGAAAATTTGTTTAAAAAAAAGGCAAAAGTAAACAATGAGCTCAACGACACATACAAGCAGAAACGATGCATTATGATGGAATAAAGCATTTGTTTCATGTGACCCGAGGCTCAGAGTCACTGGCTTCCAGCTTCTTAATTATATCAATTATGCTGCTTTTGTTTGTCTTATGTGAGAGTAAACTGTATATGTTTGAGTAATAGACTGTAAATCCAACCATATAAGCTGTTTAAAGACAGTAACTTTAAGAAACTACAACTGACATTTTCTCTGTTTTTAAACATTTCTTGGCTCCAACAATTTATTGAAAAAAACAATAAAGTAATTGAAGGATATTCAATTAAAAAAAAACAGGTTACTTGGAGCCCTAAAGGTTCATAATACAACTGCTGATGTACCTGTTTGGCCAGAGGAGCAGATCATGAGATTATCATTTCTGCCTATTTCTTGTACTTTCTCCACAAAAAAACACAGCTAGCATGCAGTGTTCTCTAGAAATAAATGAGTTAAAATTATTCAAAGAATTCTGGAGAAAGAATCATGTTTCTCACCCACATTTATGGGTAACCAAAGAGCTGCCAACTGAGCAATAAGTAAATACTATTATGTATTGCATTTTGTGTGGAAGGTAAGAGGGAGGGGGTGGAACTGAATGAGTGGCACTGTAACCTGATCATTGTTTTCTGTTTATATAGTAACACTAACAAAGTAAAAGAAGTCCTGAAAGAACAAGTGGAAAAACAGCTCCCACTGAAACTGAGAAGACGCATTTGGCACCAGGAGAGAGGTAGTGACTCACGCTGTCTGAGGTCGGTGAGAGCGGGCGACGAGAGACTCAAGAGAAACGTGACAGAGGGAGACAGGGCGAGAGACACCGGGCTGAAGGCAGACTGGGGCGGAGGCTTTACCTAGTGTGGCCAAAGAAGGAGAGGAGCCAAAATGTGTCAGCAGCTGTCGTCGCCCTGAACTGAGCTCAGCCTCAGAGTCTCAGCTTGAAAAAAAAAGTACCACTCTTTTTAACCTACAATTCACCCCTTAGCATGTCACAACATCAATCTGCACGCTGCTATTGGACAGAGAAGAAACGAGATGTGAATCAGCCTCATCAGCGAGCTGGATACGTCTACTGTGCTTCACCTGAAATCTAAACTATCCATCTAACCTGTCGTATGACCAAGTTCCCCCTGCAGTTTTTCATTAGCCTCTAGAAGGTCTTTTCTTAAAGTTTGAACTCTACCTATGTAACCCTAGTAGTATTCCTTATGATTACTTCACTTGGTCTGCTTATTTCTACTCTGAACTCATGTACGTAATAACTGCACACAGCACATATTATAAAACTGTTTTTATAGTACACTGTTGTTGCAAAAACAGTTTTATAATAACAGGAAATGAGTCACACTGTGGCTTTAGAATGACGCTGTCAATTAAACTTAAAACAAAAAAAGCTACAGTTAGTTTTTATTTTCACAAAAATATTATTTTTGGTTTGTTCTTTGAGCTGTTTTATTTTTTTTTTTTTTTACCAGCATCAATTTTACTGTTTTGAGTATACATAATTATATTGCTTTCAGTACAGTCTCTGTATCTGCCTAGAGTGTGGATTTGGGACACGGCTACTCCTTCTCCTAACTTGTTTTATTTGCTCAGCTTTTCCCCAAAATAATATGTGTGGAATTACTTTGAAATAAAGCTGAACCTGTTTAAGTTTAGAAAGCCAGAGCGACTGCCCACTGATGAGCCACAGCGCCGATCTGTTAGAGGTGAGTCAGCCAATGTCTCGGCAGGATAAAATTTATCGTCACTCTGTATTCACAAGTACATGAGAATGAAAACACTGTGACTGACACGGTGTTATCATCAAGCTTTCCTTGTTTAAATTTTCCGCCCTTAATGTACAGTCAGTACACAAACACTCAAACAGAGGGAGCATGTGGTTTGTTGTACACTGATGTTGAAGGTGTTTTCTCACTCTTCTTGGAGCAGCTGTGTGCACGACACACTGTGACATTCAGCCTGGCTCAACCTGCCAACACTCACTCAATGAGACTTTGACCACACTCCACAGTCTCAACACAAAGAGTTAATTTAACTAAACTTTGGCTATAATCATTCGGTGTTTGAATAAGTAATCCTTTCATGACTCAGATAAATCTAAATTCTTTTCCTGAGGCCTTCAAAAGTTAATCTGGATGGCACATTCAGTTTGTACAAAACGTCTTGCCTCACAGTGTTCTGCAGCATATTGTGGAATGTGCGTGTGCATGTGAATATGTGTGTGGGCTGCTGCATGGGGCCATGGGTCAGTGGACTGTGTGTGATCATTTTCAGTGTGACTGAGTGCAACAACACTCACAGCAACAAACTTGGTCGGGCGGGGTACGATGACATTGTACTTGGCGTCCTTCGTTATTAAATGGCCAAAACATGAAAAAAGTCTGGCATGGTTGAGTTGACTTCAGAGGGTAAAGTTAACACAACAAGTAAAACAAATTCTTCTTTCATGAGCGGGTCTAGATTTTTC